AGGGTTTAGGGTTCAGGGCTTAGTCTAGGGTTCAAGGTTTAGGGTTCAGGGTTCAGGGTTGAAAACAAACAAGCTGCCATTGTAGCGATTATACTCGGAATCCGAGGGCTTACTGCTTACGGCAACGTTCAGGACTTCAGGGTTTTAAGGTCTGGGGCCTTATGCTGTAATGTTGCCTCCCGAAACTGGGTTCTTGTTAAGGGATTTAACGCAAGTTACCATAATCAGGGAACCCTATGACTTGCTATAGATCCCTATTATTATAGTAACTTAAACAAAATCCCTTAGGGTTTAGGGTTTAGGGTTTATAACGAGAACCCAGGAAACCCTCATGCTTGCAGCCAAGCTGCTGGGAGGCATGGTGCTAACAGCGGCGCTCTGGTAGCCGAGGCAGGTAAAGCCTGCTTAAAGGATCGCGTGTAGCATCAACAAGGCAACAGGTAACCCACCAAAAAAAACTGAAAAAAAGCTTTAAGACCTCAAGCCGTACACCCTAAAACCTACACCGTAAAACCCTTACTAAGCCCTTAACAGTTTGGAGCGTGAGATCAAAGGCTCAGATGGAAGGTTTGCTGAAGCTGCGAGTGCCTTGAGGGCACAGGACGTGGATTTCCGAGCTCGAGGCTTAGGGCTACAGATACTGGGGTTCAGGGCTTGATATTTATGGGTTTATAAGGATTATAGGATCATAGGGTTTAGGGTTTGATATTTATGGGTTTATAAGGATTATGGGATCATAGGGTCTAGGATTTAGTGAAGCTTGATAGGTCTTCGGGGCTATGGTTTAGGACGGGCGTAGGCGCAGGTGTGCTGGGCATGTCGTCGTCTGCAGTAGTTGGAATATAGACCCTGCATTGCAAGAATATGCTCGCCCCTCTTTCCAGCAAGGAATAAACACACACACACACAGACACAGACACAGACGCACACGCACGCAGGACATGTAATAGAGACATGACGACACGGCCCTATGACGTCACGACGGTGCTGCCAGAGGCTTCAAGATATGGCTTATAGATCGTGTCCCTATAGGCCCTATGACACGAAATCCTTTGTAACTTTGTAACATCATAACCGTAAACCCTAAACCCGTAAACCCTAAACCCTCAACGCGTAATTATTCTGTGGCGATGTTGATAACGACGACGACCACCACCAGGACTTGGGGCTACAAGCCGGTGCTGGTGAGGTGGCCCGAAGCCCTAAACCTTACACCCCAATATGTCTAAGTTCAGTCACAACTTGGAAACCATATTCACTAAAGGTCCCTAATATGGCAACTAAACCCCAAACCTTAAACCCAACCTAAACCCCCCAAAGGTAGGTAAAAGAATGGCCCAACACCTATAAGCGGCGATTATTCTACCTACTTTTGGGGTTCAGGCAGGCCCTAAACCTTAACCCCTTTCAGTGATTCAAACCTCAAAGCCTCAACCCTACACCTGAAACCCTAAGGGTCTCTAAAGCCCTAATAGACCCCATGAGCTCTCTGAAGAAAGGTGCCTCGGAGACCATAAAAACCTTAACCCTAAACCTGAAATCCTAAAGGTCTCTTAAGGAGCCCTATCGGGTTTACTATAAAGGAGCCCTATCATAGAACCCCCAAAGGAGCCCTGA